AGTTTTTTGTCGATTCTCTCGACTTCTGCGCAACCCTACTCCGGCCTTTTTTGCCTTCCTCGACCAATTTCTCCCTCTCTTCCTAGGGACCGAACGAGACTGAACACGCAAGAAACTCCTTCAACATCGAGACTTCGGGCATCCCGTCTCCTCACCACGCGACGTAACCTCAACTGTTATCTCTGTCGTCCGCCCCTCATCCACTCGACGTGGAGCAGCCAGTTGGAACATCATCCGTTACCTGCGACAACCTGGCTCCGAACGCCCACTACACTAGCACCATCTCAATCTCCCGCGACTCGTCTCCACTTGGACCGCCAGGGGTGGTGGAAGGCAGACTTGCGAGCTATCGATACACGCTTTTGCCCATTGTGTAGCCAAGGCAAAGGCAGTGCGTCGTGCTAGTGTGCTATATACACGTCTGAACGCCCGCGCTGGCAAAGAGAAAAAAAAAACCCGAATCGCGCCTGAAGAAAGCTCTCGTTTCTTCTCTGCGCGCCTCTCCCGTCTTCGCGTCCTCATCGGTGCCAATTCTTCGGAGAATCCAAGTTCGCGCCTGTCGCGTTGTCTTGTACCTGACGACGGCTCTCCATGTCCTCCCGGAACCCATCGACGTGGGACGAGTACGAACGGGGTGCTTCTCCCCAGCGCTCCGTGAGTATCGACTCCAACGCCGTCACTGAAGACCAGTCGCTTCTTGGCGACGACGAGGAGAATGCCTACGGAGGGAGTCACCATGGCCTGCGTCGTCGAAGGTAAGTTTCTTTTATTCATCATCTTTATTACTTGGGAGCATCTTTGTCGTTCGCTGCTGAATGGTATGTTTGGTCTCGTGCTGCCTTCCCCGCTAACTCCCCGCTTCAAGGTCATCTGTAACGCGACACCTCGCCGCCATCACCGATATTGGCGGCGTCAACAGTATTCGCTCCTTCACCCGCAGTTGGGCGCGTGCGGCTGGCTTTGCCGAAGTCATTCCCCAGAGGCCCTCCTTCGTCTTCGCACCCGACCAGGCACCGATTGCCTCCTCGTCAGCAGAAGCTCTCGACTATTCTCGTAGCCTTGTCGAGCCCGAGTCCCACCCGAGAACCTCGCTATTGAGACAGCATCTAGAAGCCACCCCCGAAAATGGAGCCGGTTCTTCGCACGAGAATGGCTCTTCGGCGTCTGCCGTTGTCGACGAATCTTCTCCAGCCGATTTCCGCGACAGGGAGCGCAAAGCTGTCGATGCTGACATGTCGGGGGCTTTCCACGGATCGAGCTTTGGCAGCGGCCGCCGGCCGTCGCAGTCAATTTTTGCAGTTGCTCCTCATCTGGCAACACCGCCTCTGTTCGGGAGTTACGGATCGTACCGGACCTATGGCACGATATCCGACGTTGACGCGCCGTCAATGGCTCAGGCCGGTGAGCTGTGGCGCCAGCAACAGCAAGAGGGTGGAAATGTGCCCGATGGTGAACACCCTCAAATCTTGGTGAAGGAGGTTGAGCAGGATGGCAAGATTGTCCTCACTGTGGAGGGTCAGTCTACGCTACCTCAGACCATTTTCAACTCGATCAAGTAAGAGAATCCCAGGTCTTTGGAAGTCAGCAAGACAAGGTCTAACGTTCAGCGCAGCGTTCTAATTGGGGTAGGTCTCCTGAGTCTACCCATGGGTATCAAGTATGCTGGTTGGATTTGCGGCATGGTCGTTCTGGCGGGCTCGGCTGCCGTGACGGCGTACACCGCGAAACTCCTCGCCAAGTGCATGGATCTGGATGCCAGCTTGATCACATTCTCTGATCTAGCCTACATCTCGTACGGTCGCAATGCCCGTATTGCTACGAGTATTTTGTTCACCATGGAGTTGCTAGCTGCATGCGTGGCTCTCATTGTGCTGTTCGCCGACTCTCTGGTTCTCCTTTTCCCGGGTTTCTTGAGCGTGAATATGTGGAAGATTATCTGCTCCGTGGTCATGATCCCTCTCAACTTCCTGCCTTTGAGACTGCTAAGCTTCACCAGCGTTATTGGCATTCTGTGCTGCTTCAGTAGTAAGTGACGCCTTTTCCCCTCCTTGTTGTGCAAGAGCTGCTCGATTAACTTGCTGCAGTCGTATTGATCCTAGTCGTTGACGGACTCATCAAGCCAAATACACCTGGCTCTCTGATTGAGCCTGCTACGACGTATCTTTTCCCGGCGAACTGGGGCACCTTACCCCTAAGTTTTGGCCTGCTCATGAGCCCTTGGGGCGGTCACAGCGTGTTTCCCAACGTGAGTCTCTGCTAATCTCCAGTTTCGTAGCAGCAATCTAACATCGGGGTCACAGATTTACAGAGATATGCGCCATCCTCACAAATATCCCAGGGCTGTCAAGACGGTCTTCTCGTCTGTGGTAAGTAATGCATCCTGTGATCGTCTCCGGTCCTGCACAAGGACTGACCGTCGAATTACTAGTACCTCCTGGACGCCTTCACGGCCGTAGTTGGTCTCCTGATGTACGGCGATAATGTCATGGACGAAATCACTGCGAACATCCTCCAAACCAGCGGGTATCCTCGTGCCCTCAACTTCTTGCTATGCATCTTCATCGCGATTATTCCTCTTACCAAGATTCCGCTCAACGCGCGACCCATCATCTCTACTCTAGAGGTATTGACGGGCATCCACCAGCAGGCCGTCTCTGACAACCAGGCCATGGTGGGTCGGTCGGCGACATTCCGTGGGGTGATGAAGATTGCCGTCCGAGTTGTCACTATCTTCGTCTTCCTGGTCATCTCCATCGTATTCCCGGCCTTTGACAGCATAATGGCGTTCATGGGCAGTGCTTTGTGCTTCACGATCTGTGTGCTGTAAGTGGAGCTTCGTGTTTATTCATCTTAAGCAAGCCCTTTCTCTGACACTTCACAGCTTGCCTCTGGCTTTCTACGTCAAGCTGTTCGACAAGGAGATCTCAGCCAGGGAGAGGTTACTGTGTTACGTTCTCATGACCATCTCGACGGTGTTGTCGGTTGTGGGTACCGTATGGGCCTTCCTTCCCAAGAGCCTCATAGGCGCGGAGTAGGGACCTAGAGCTTATTACGTTTGGCTTGACATGCATATCTGGCGTCCCATCTGTCGACTGGTCATTGCATGGCGCTGGCGACATCTGGTTATAACACTGCATGCCGCGTTTCACTGCGTTTTGTTTGGTGTAGCTATGCGATGCTTGCTGCGTGTTTGGGATTCGGCGTAGACTGCATATGGATGTGAGGGATACCGTAGATATACACGAATACATGCTGAACTTGATTTCATTTGACTTTCCATTGCTATTACGTCACCCAGTATCTCGTGCTAGTACTCACGCGACGTGCGAGTGACTTGACGTCCAGATCTGGGCAAGCGATAACTATCTGCGTTTGCTGTTGCCACTCGCAAAGTGTACACGACGGAAGCATTAGCCTGTCCGTAAGGTCAGTCGTCGTCGGGCGCATGTTCGAGCATAGACTCCCCTACACCTTGTATTACGTTCGGTCTGACCAAATGCGTAATTTCAAAGAAGGGCCACCTCCTTTCCAATAACCACTCAAGCTGTCTATCTTGTACCCACCTTAACCACCTTCTTGCCTGGACTTCCAAGCTTGCTTAGAGAAAAGCTTGCAACGAGCTCAAAGAAGTAGGAGGAACAGCGGGGGCCGAGAGACATGGCAGAGACGAGCATAGAGACAAGAGCAAGGCCTTGACAACAAGAGGACGTGGGTGGTCTTGTCTACGTCTTGAGAGAGGCTGCAACGAGGTCTTCTGGAACAGCCATCGGGGCGGCCCCAATGAGAGAGCCTTGTGCTGAGACAAACACACCATTCGAGCAGGACTAAAGGACCTGCTTCGCTCTCATCCGGCTCACCCTCTAACATGGTGACTGCAGCCAATCCTTCCAGACCCGCTCTCATCATGACAATACCGCGTGTTGGACAAAGGTCTCTCAACACCATTTCCTTCCCTACAATCGCCCCGACGTTACAAACACTAGCAACTACATATTTACTGTCTGGGTATTAGAAAATGAGAAACAAAGTTAAGTGTAGTCCCTGGGGTGCTTCATTCAAGTCTTGTAGTATCCTCCTAGTTCTTCTGGTCCACAACCTCATGAACAAGGTCTCCTTGGCACCATGTTGCTAGAACAGGAGTGCAGAGTGTTTCACCAAATGGGTGGCCGGCAGCCAGAGCTTCAAGAATACCCGTCTCGGTGAACTCGGGTTGGCTCATGCTTGCTGGAGACTTTTGTGGTTTTCGCAGCATGTACCGGTCTCGTCCACGTACGTCTGTCAGCATTGCTATATCCCCTCTCCCTAATTTAACTTCTCCTTCTCCTTCTGTGTAAGATGCATATTGACGCTTCCAGGTCCATCTCTTGGCTCCGGTACCTCCTAATCTGCTCGTCAAGGCAATCGTCAACACGGATTTTTAAGTGTTGTCCTTGCCAGCCGCGTTCTTCATCTGCACTAACTGAGGCTGGTCGTGAACCCCCTTCACCTTGTAGCTTTCACGTCGGGTATAGTAGTATATAGCGTTGTTGTCAGAACAGATTCATGGTGGAACCTCGAGGGGTCTGCTTCGCCCAGCAGTCCTCATTGCACATGGAGTCCGCAGTGTGGACGAGATTCTTCGCTACTTAGTAATTCAGGAAGAAGGTATTAGAGCGTAGCGACCCGTTGAGAGTTGAACTAAATGTCACCTGGCGCTTGTCTATTTCCATTTTCTTTGGCATTCGTTACAACATAATTTTTCAAAGTGATTACCGTCTTTCCCCCAGGACCGGTACGTTGCGTATGTCACGAGTATTGCGAATCGACAGATATGATTGAGTGGGTAACTTCTGGTATTGTTCATTAATCTGGAGATATCTAATACACAGAAAGCGAGTTGAGTTCATCATCCAAACAGGTTCCAGACTCGATGCCGGAGACCACCAGACCGTCACGGCCAGATAGCCAAAGGACCCGACAATGCCCCTGTAGGACTAACCCAACCACAAGAGGTGACCCGCCTAGGAATGCGCTTCCTGCCAGCCACCAACCCACTCAACGTCTGCGAGATCAGTGCGCTTCTCCCGGCGCCAATAATTCCAATCTCTGCCCTTGTTCCAAGGGCATTCCCTAGCCTTTTCCTTAGGCGATTTGTTGTGGTTGTTGTGAGTTGCATTGTGATCCCAAACTCCCGCTGCATACGAATTGTATCCCAGCCCAATAGTACGTTGTTGTCGAGCAAAATCGCCAGACATTTTGTTTGTTGTCGAACTCGAATACTTTCGACGAGCAGCCCCTAACTTGGCCCACTTGTCATTCTCCACTCGCTTAGGGGGAGATTGACGAGTAGACAACATGGGCCTCGATTTCGGCGGAGAGGCTTCCTGGAAGAAGAAGCCATCGGCCGCAAGGTCGCTGTCGATGTCATTGTGAATCTTGTGAGTGTCGTGGTGCGAGCGCTGCGGTGTGGTAGCAATGGGCGTCGCGTCGACAGTCTCAGAGTCGTCGTTCTCGTCCATCTTGCTGTCATGACTCCAGGTCCTCGAGTTCAGCTCCTGCAGGGACTGCATCTGCCTGTTTCGCTCGGCCTCCTCTTCCTCCTCATCCTCATCCCACATATCACTCCAGCTCTTGGAGACGGCGTCCTTACGGCCGAACACCAAGGACATCGAAGACAAGTTGCTTTTAGGCTTGGCCATGGTGATGGGCAGGGATCCAGCCATGGGCGAGACCTTAGGAATGGGTCGTGGCGCAGCCTTCATGGGGCGTCCAATGTGAAGTGACTTCATTGACGCTCCAAGGCTCGAGTCAAGCATGGAAGATATGGAAGGTGTTTGCGCGGAGCTAAACCAGTCGGATGTTTCTCCAGACTTGGAGAACATATCCTCAGTGTAGCTCTCGTCATCGGGGATGGCACTGAGCTGGCGAATTGGCTGGGGAGGGCTCGCATGCAGAGCCTTGGCCCAGGGGAAGGCACCCTGGTCAATCTGAGGGCTCTGAATGGAAGGCGTGCGCAGAGGCTCGCGGTTCGCACTGGCCATGACATGACGGTTGGCCGAGCAGAAGTCGTCAACATCCTCCTCGGTTGTGGTGAAGCTGATGACACGCTGGAGAGCAGCGCGGGCACCGACGAGTGACCGCTTCCTAGGATCCAAATTCATGCACTGGACAATGACCTCATAAGTGTCCTGGGACATGGACGGGAAAACATCGAAGAGCGACTGCTTGTCCCGAGAGAAGTCCAGGAAAAGGGGGTCCGCCTCGGTCGGAGTGGTGAAAGGGTTGCGAGAAAAAAGAATGTTGAGGAGGCAAATACCGATGGCCCAGATGTCGGCTTGGGCAGGGGAGTAACCAGCACCAGCAGAATCAAACTGCTCCGGAGCCATGTAACGATCACTGCCGACGGTGGTTTCAAGAGTCCAGTTCTCGGTAGTCGCCAGACCAAAGTCTCCGAGCTTCATGGCACCAGACTGAGTCAAGAAAATGTTCTCAGGCTTGATGTCACGGTGGTAGACACCCTTGGCGTGAATGTAGGCAACCGCATCCACGAGCTGCAGCATGAATTGCCGGACGTGTTCGGTCTCGAGAGGTCCGCGACCATTCCGAATAGCTTCATACAGGTCACCCTGAGGACAAAACTCGAGGACGATGTAAAGATGAGCCTCGGTCTCGAAGGAGCGGAGAAGGTTGACGATGTTGGGGTGTGAGAGCCGGCCGTGAAGGGCAAGCTCCTCAGACTTCTCGTCGATGGCGAAGTCGAGGCCGGCATCATCAGCAGCAGCCTTCTTGGTCAGGCACTTGATCGCAACGGTCTCGCTGGTGTGCATGTCCTTGGCCATGAAGACCATGCCGAAGGAGCCATGGTTGAGGGGAGAAATGGTCTTGTACCGACCATCGAGCAACACACCATTTTGAAAGTCGTCTCTCAAGCATGCCATGTCGAAAAGAGGAAAGATGGGAGCAAGGGTATCCGAACGAAGAAACAACGAGGTGACGAAGAATGATACAGGCGTGAAGCAAGCTTTTCCCCGCTCGGTAAGTCGTTCGTTGCTGGGAGGAAGGCGGAATCGAATGCGGTCGAGATGTCGAGGGTGAGGCGGTGTTGTCGACAGGTTGCCTGAAGGAGGCAAGAGGCGGTTTTGCCCAAATATACAGATGTGGAAGAACAAATCTAACAGGAAACAACGCAGTTTCTAACTCCTATTCGTACGTGTCAGAGGCTCATTGATGGGTATTTTTTTCGGCTGTTGTCGGACAAATGAAAGCGAAGGTCTGGTTGATGGTTGTTGATGATGTTGTTTGGTCGTTATGCGAAATGGGACGTCGGCAAGTCCGAGAAAAGACAAAAACAGTTCGTTAGGAGGACATTGAAGTAAAGCAAGTATTGTGGGTAAAGGAGAGAACGATGCCCGGAGGTCAAGAAGTGGCTCGCGAGATCGGCGCTGAGAGGCTGATACGCAAGAACGAAGCGAAGCTACCGGGTCCTATTCAAGAGGAGACGGTGGAGGGGAGCCGAGTTGGCACCGGATGAGCAGGTTATGCGTATCGGAATGCTAGCTCTTTGGAAGGCACGAAGGCCGATAGGGGTGGTCGTGTATGGCCGTGGGTAGAGTCGTTGAAATGTGATCGCAACGGCTTGCAAGCAAGCTAACTACCGATGTCGGCAACAGTGGTGGCTACGGCAGCATTCGAGCGTTAGAACGTGTGTGAGAACGAGTCGGGTGAAGAGATCGTTCGAGTCGAGGTCGAGATGAATGGTCGAGGGGACCAAGCTCCTTTTTGATTGAGGGGAAGGAGTTGGTGTCACGAGAGCAGGGTGACGAAGGTGGGGAGGAGGAGTGAGTCAAAGAACACGGGTGACTTGGTGTTGGATGACGGCGATGGTTGTGGAGTCGAAGTCGAAGTCCCGAAGGCCTCTCTTCTCTTTTATCTCTTCAACTCGATGATTGACAGATTGATATATTGGTCAGGTCGTCGGCGGAGATGGTGGATTGCGTGATTGCTTGCGGCTATGACTCGCGGGTGATGTTGGATTGATACGGAGAGATTGCGAGTGCAGTGATAAGGAGGTCGGCAGAGAAGAAGGGAGGAGGTTGAGGCGGATGGGGAGATGGGTAGTTGAGGAAGCAAGCAAGGAGAGAAGGAGAGGCCGTGAACGACGATGAGATTGCTGACGGATGAATAGGGGAACGAAGCAAGGCGAGGTGGTGAAGGGGGAGGGAGTATTAGAGTAAAGTAGGTAAGGTAAGTGCAGGTTGTACGGTAAGGCAGGCAGAGAGTAAGGCAGGACGAAGGAAAGGGTGGGCAGGGAAAGGTGCGTGTGTGAGCGAGAGACAGTCAGAGAAGCAGATGGAGGTGAGAAGACGTTGGGGGAAGGATTAGACAGAGAAGAGGAGAGAGATAGAGAGAGCGAGCGGCAGAGAGAGAGAGAGAGAGAGAGCAAGAGGCAGAGCCAGAGCAGGCCCCGGGGTCGTGGGCGAGTGGGTGGGTGGGAGCCAGGCGAGATTGGGACAGTGAGTTTGCCAGTGTCTCTCGCTGATCAGGTACACTTGGAGTAGAGATACTTTGCATACGTGCAGTGGATTGCGCGGTTCCCAGGTATCTTCGGATGACAGGGGAGACGGACAGAGAAGGCGGTAAAAGAGAGGTAGCCAGTGGGAAAGCATGGCGTACTTGGAATGGACCGGGGGGGGGGGGGGGGAGGGTAGGTAGGTAGGCAGTGACCGGGGTCCAGTATCGGGATATGGCCATGATGGCGCTATGAGGCCAGGTGGGAACTCAGGCCGCTTGACCAACTTGCAGACAGGGCAGACAGACAGCCAGCCAGAGCCAGCCAGCCTTCCAGTCCTGGGCCTGCAATGCATGCACTCGCTCACTCCCTGCTCGGCCATGACAACTCTCTGTCGCCTTGTCGCCATACACGCCATTCTCCTGCAGGAGACAGCTGGTTGACTGGGTTTTGCTTCTGGATGGACTGGCAACAGGAGGGACGCGATGCTACGCCAGACCGACAGACCGACAAACCAAACCAGCCCAGCCTTCGCAAGGTGTAAAGATGAAGGCTGTTGCAATGCACACACACACACACACACACACGGTGCAGGTGCAGGTGCAGAGTTGTGAACCTTCTATCCGTAAGGCCTGCCACCCTCATCAGCCCAGAGGCCCCACCTCCTGTCTCTCAGTGGCCTGTTTTGTTTCTCGCCTGTCCGCCGTCCTCCGTTTGCTTCCGTTTGGAGACCTGAGGGTGTGCACTGTGACACTAGCCCAACAATGCGATGGCAGGCTTGCGTGTACCAAGCATGGCGGTGACATAACGGAACGCCGTATTGGCTGCCGCACTGACGGGGCCAAGGTCCAGAGACCAAGGACGACGGACGACAGAACAGCTGTGTGGCAGACGGTGAAAACTGCCAGGCCAGGTGACATAGAGTGCTGTCTACGCAGTGTATAGGATGTACTCCATAGTAGATACTTATCCGTACCGGCCTCTCTCTCTCCGTGTGCTGCCCGTTCGCCCCGTCATAATCTCGGGTCCCACAACTGACACTGCTCAGGTGCCTTGTTGATGAAGCGAAAGCTGGGAGTTGCCTTGTCCGCAACGAGATAGAGTCATCTTGGGAATGGGGCAATGAGGTAACTCCAGTGTCCACGCCGAGGCTCGCAGTCGATAGGTGGATACCGGACAGTTTTCCGTGCTGCGGTACCCGCTTCGGCGGTTTGCGACCGCGCTCCTGCTTCCACGTTACTCATCCTCGTCTTCCCCGGCGCGAGTCGGGTGAGGTGAGTGAGTCGTGGCAGTCCGGTGCCTCTGGTTGAATTGCCCGAATTGATTGATCAGTCGGCACGGATTACGGACGGAATGAGCGAGCACGACATCCCTCAATGGATCCATCACCCGCCCATGGCCCTTATTCCATCAGCTTCCATGACATGCCATCAGTTTCCATGGCAGACGCAATCAATGGCTCAGCCCAAGGTACCAGCCACTGTGCCATCTGCCAATTTTTTGTCATGGGCTGGTCGCCCCTGCGTAGTTGTCGTGTAGATTCATGTCAACAGAGCCAACATATCAACATCAACAATACGGATACAGCACCTGCAACAACAGCAACAACAACAACAATAACAACAGTCCAAGAACGCAGCGGGCGGAGAGGGGGTGCAGTCAACTCAATCAACCCTGAGCCAATAACCAACGCGCGAGCATGGTGGGCTATGACGAATGCAGATATCGAGATACGCGGCGCGACCAGCGCGTCCGAGCGGGACTTGGGGTATCTCGCAAACCACATGGAAAAGACCGAGGAGACAGTGCGACAGGGCTTAGAAACAGGACATTCGCAACATAGTCCAGTGTGTTTGGGAGCACCCTGCGAGCTGCATGAATGAGCGAATGGCTGGCAGGCTTCTCGACTGGGGGCTACGTTGATGCGGGGTGGGGGAGCTACGAAGCCGTTCGGCCTTCGCTGACTGGCTGCAAGGGACCGTCTGGGGTTAAACACCTTTGCATCTCGCTGCCTCTGTGTCTTTCACTGTATTCGTACCGTGGGTATCTATCATATCTATCATAGGCAAAGCAGTGGCGGAAGTTCAAACACGTACTAAGTACCGGCAGATAGCATACAACTCGGAAGCCCGTTACATACCTAAGCATCTTTATTAGGTGTCATGTCTCGTACATGAACACCCACTGTCCCGTTGAAAAGGCCACGTTCTGTTGACGGTGCCCAGGTACTTGTCGGCCCCCTGGGAATACTTTAGTTGCGCAGCTCTCATAATGCTAAACTGCCAAAAACATATCACGCTGTTTACAATACCTAGTTGCCTCAACGTAAAGTGGCCGCCGTAGACATGAGCGAGCGGGTACCTTAGGTAAGATGTCTTGGGTGCCTACCACAGTAGTTACCTTACTATGCAGTACACTGCCGTGCACTACACCTTCGTCCCTGACAGCCATTTGGATGGCCTAGCCTTTTGAAGACTTCGCTTTGCTGCGTTGCTAGTCGCCACACTGCTAGGTACGCGGCTAGCAAGTATATGGCAGCGGCAAGAAAGCTGCAACGTCGACATGGCGGCCGCGTATCCAGCTGCTCCTCCTGCTGCCATGCAACAGTTCTTCGTCGCGTGCCGCACTGCCTGATGCTCGTGCGCGCTCGATTCGAGTCGCTCGCTGCGGCGGGAAGCGCGCAACCAAACGACACTCCAAGGATCCCACCACCAAGAAACCTATCGGCCGGCCGAGCCAGCCATTGACCTAACGCCCAGCGCCGTTTCTTCGCAATCTTGAGAAGCAATTCGTTCACGGACACGAGCGGGGAGCGCGTCACGTACTAGGCACGGGTGCTACCTTACTGTGCTTGTCTTGGTATGGAACGACATCAGCACTGTATTCCCTTCTGTCCCACGTTTTTGATTGTTATGGAGACGCCGAAACTTGGGAAAAGGGGTCCTTCTCGATTTGTTCAGTCCTCTGACTCTTTTTGGTCCTCCATCAAGATGAACTGGCCAGAGGACGCTCTGCAGGTCAAGCTATCGGATCTCGGATACCACCTCGCCTTACATAACCCGGTCTGTTTACCTACGTTGGGTAATAAGGAACCAATAACCCGTCTTCTAAAGGTGCCTAGGTAGGGGGATCAGACGGGATTGCAGGTACTTATATGGACCCCATTACGGCTTAGCTACCAAAGATAGAGTGGCAACGGCCCCTCCCACGGGTCCCAGACTTCGTGAAGCAACTCCTGGATCATGGCTGAAGGACATCGTCATTCGTGCCATGTGTCCTCGACTGTCCTCCTCGGCGAGCTGCACTGCTTGAACTACGTGTCGGGAGGTTCCCAGGAAGCATTGCACAAGAATAGCGTTCAATTATGTCAAGTTCTATTGCTGATCCGTCACTCGGTCATGCCTTCGACGGGGAGCAGAGGACGTGACT